TATTCTTTTTATGTTTGTATATTTGTTATTAAAATGTTATTAATCCCGTTAAATTAAGTATTTGTTACCTATCATTTATGGGAAAATAATCACTTTCAGATTTTAACTATATTTTAATAATATTTTATGTTGTATTATTAATTTTTATTATCAAATAAAATAAAAATTTCAATATATCTTATTTCTGCGTTTCTTTGATCTCATTTTAACTATTAATAAACAATAAATATACCAATATTTATTGTTTTTTTGTTACAAAATTCTATTATTTATCAAATTTGTAAAAATTTTTGTTGTTTTTTTACATTAGTTATTAAGGAATCGACGGGATTATTAGGATGTTTTTAACCCGACATTTCATTATAAAGAAGGCTAAAATTAAGTTTGTTTTTATATAAATACTTTTTCCGTGACTGGATGCCACGCGGTCTTTTGCTGTTTTGCCAAGATTTCTCAAAATGTCTAAATATGTTTGTGTACAAAGATGTTGTTTTATTATTTCATATTTAATTATTGATTTTTTGTTAAAATAAATGTATTGTAAAATGAGTAGCATTGGTCATTAACTTGCTAAACAATGACGATATAAACAGTTGATTTGTTTAGAATACAATACATTTAAACAAATTAATATAAAATAAACAGTTAGAGAATAATGACATCAATAAAAAAAACAGGATTATTACGTATTTTAATGAACAACAAAAAACCAAATTAAAAAAAATAAAAAACAATGTATTATTCTATCTGTTTCAAATCATAAACCAATAAAAGTTTACATTTAAATTTGTTTAAACATCAATAACACAACAATAAATACAATTTTATATATAAACAGTAATAAATAAATAAGGAACAACAAATAGTATATTAAATTATCGTTTAAAACAGTTTATATTTTACAAATACGTTGAAATTAATAAACAAGAAATAACTACTTTAACCCTTCGAGGACTGAAAAATTTTTATTTTTTTCTTTTTTTTCAGAAAAAATTTTCAAAAAATAATTTCACTTTTCCAAAAAAATGAAAATAATGGCGACTTTTCATGAACAATTTAGAATGATTTTTGACTTATTTGATAAAATAGTTCAACTCAAATTCAAAATTTTGAATTATTTATAAAACATTTCATCATTCATAAACTCAAATTATTTGGGTTTTGTTAAAGATTTGTCCTTTAATTAATAAAATATACAATTTAACAAATTAATATTAGTAATAAAAATAATACGAAAATAAACTGTTTTCATAAACAAATAAAATTGTTAATAAAATTGATTAAATAATATTATCAGATATTCAAGTTTTTCAAAAAACAAAATAAAAAACACTTAAAACAAGTGCAACAATTTGGGTTCAATATAACCAATAAGATTGGTTCAAACCAAAATAAAATAACAACATGACAAAATATTGTTGTTGAAATAA